ATTCGTTGTACTTAAGTTTTGTGTTTGTATCATCAATTTAACGATTGAAGAGTGATTTCCACTACGAGTAATTTTCGATTCTCTTCGACAATTTACAATTTTTTTGTATATCCATGTAAAATTGCACGAGTGAACTCGATTGTGCCTGCATGTGTTGCAATAAATTGGATGTGAAATTTGTTCTGTAAATCTTCACAAATCGTCAAACATATTCTTTTTCTATTTTTTCATTACGAAATTTCTTGAACAAAAATCTAATGGAGAAAATAGATGTCTGTAAACTTATATGAGTCGAGAATCTAGATTTGTTATGATTCTGTCTACAAATTATATCAATTCAATCTTTTACTTTCTTTGTCAATTACTATTGATTATTTAACAAATTTGTCAATCCATACTCAATAAGTGTAAGCTGTTCGAAATAGACAATTTTTGAAGAATTTGCCAACAAATTTAATCTCTACTTAATCTTAATTTGAATCTTAATCTTCGAAAAGTTCAATGTTTATGAATTTATAAGACGAGTCTAATTTGTGAAATATTGTATATTCTTTGAGATTTTCTTAATATCTCTATTTGTATTATTACATTCGTTGTACTTTTATTTTCGTATTTATATCATCAATTTAACGATTGAAGAGTTATATCCACTAAGAGTAATAATTAGATATATCTCTTCGAGTATTGTTCGCTGATTGCACACACGTGATGCAATAAATTGTATGTGAAATTTGTTCTGTGACTTCATTACCAAATTTATTCAACAAAAATCTAATAGGGAAAATGGATTTATGTTAAATTATATGAGTCGAGAATCTGGATTTGTTATGATTCTATCTACAAATTGTTTGCAATTCAATCTTTTCCTTTCTTTTGTTCAATTACTATTGATTATTTAACAAAATTGTCAATCCATACTCAATAAGTGTAGGCTGTTCGAAATAGACGAATGTTTTGAAGAATTTGCCAACAAATTTAATCTCTACTTAATCTTAATTTGAATCGTTAATCTTCGAAAAGTTCAATGTTTATGAATTTATAAGACGAGTCTAATTTGTGAAATTTTGTATATTCTTTGAGATTTTCTTAATATCTTCCTCTGTATTATTACATTTCCACTAAGAGTAAAATTAAGATAAATCTCATCCAATGTTTTACAGTTTATGGTGTTGCATGTGAAATTTGTTCTGTGATTCTTCAGTAATCAATGAGTGTATTAAATATATGGATTGAAACTCACCAGTTTGCGTTTCCTTATCACCGGCAGTCGTGTTGTAATTTCGCAACTTGAAAAACGGCAGCATCGAGTCGACACGTTCGGTAAAATGAACAGGATCTTCGTAATTCCAAGCTAAAATCAAGTCGTTTTCCTTCCACGCAACTAAAAATTATAAAGAAGTTACATAAAATGTTATGTTCTTCAGTAAAAATTGTATTGAAATCTCGTGATGTTTGGTAAAAAATGTTTGAGTGAAAGAAAGGTTAACAACGTACAGCTGGATATCGACAGAGCGCATTTCTGGTGATCAAAGGGGAATTTCGAGAAATCCATGGGACAGTACACGACCAAAGAGTATCTGCAATCACACAAGAAAATAAAAAACATACACATTTCATTTCACTTACTGCAAATGCAGATCGAAGAAAAGCAAACTGAATTCGGATAGCAAGAAAACAACATTTATCTTAACAACAACAACAAAATAATTTAACTTCTTGAGTAGAATATTTAAAGAAATCTTTAATAAATTGATTTTGTTATGCTTGTCTCTGGAAATTCACTCAAAACGTAGTGAATGTGATCGAGCAAAGTCGAGGGACGTTTAATTAATCTTCTTGTTGGCTTACATAATCGGATAACATTCAGTCCGTCATCGGCGTTTTTGTCCCAAGAACTTGACATATAAACACAGAGGATACGAATCTTCGGATCACATCAACTAAACCATGAGTTTGTTCGTCTTTCCATATTTTTTAGATCAATAACGTTACATAATCATATCTAAATTCTATAACGTTAAGTTTTGTAATCGCTAATTCTGTTGCGATTTCTTAATATTAATTAATATTTGACGATTTGTTACTGTCTTTTAGCCGCAATAAAATATACAAAATGATATTGTAACAAGTTGAAAAGTTTTCGTTTTAAGAATCTGTACTTTTTTCAATTCACTGAAAAAGTCTATTCTTTAAAATTTTGCTCTTATTAAAACTGAAAAATAATAGTTGATATTATTTTAATGTCCATTTTTATATTGAAACTTTTTTGATGATTCTCTGTTTGTGCGTAAGAAAATTTGCAGATCTTTGCGTCTTACAAAGTTTATTAAAATTCAATTGAAACAATTATATTTATAGTTTTTACGTGTTATTTATGTGCTTCGGTTTAATTTAATTGCAATAGTATTGGATGATTTTACAATAATATTGCCAAATTTTTCATGCTATTTTTGGTGGGGTTTATTTGAGTTTTCATGTTTTGTTTTAAGAACAAGATGCAAAAATATACAAAGATTTTTGTTCAAACGATTAGAATTGTCTGATTGTGGTGGATTTTTGTAGTGTTTGTGCAGATTTATTAAAATTAGAAACAATTTTTTCTTTGTTTCAATGTAAGAATAGTTATAGATTCTTACAATTTACTGATTTTTTCAAAGTTCGCTCTTTTGTAAACACAAAAATACTGGGAGATTTTCGAAATTTTCTTTTCTAATTGAACTTGTCTTATTCTGGTCCACTTTTGTGGTGATTTAGAGACAAATTGTGTATATAAAAGGTAACAAAAATTTGATGATTTGTTATTGTCTTTTAGTCGCAATACAATGTAGAAATTAGTGTTTCTATGTTTCAGTGTGGGAATAGTTACATATTCTTATAATATATTAAAAAACCATGATTTTTCAAAGTTTTCTCTTTTGAAAACACAAAAATAATGGTAGATTTTCGAAATTTTCTTTTCTAATTGAACTTGTCTTATTCTGGTCGACTTTTGTGGTGATTTAGAGACAAATTATGTAAAAAAAGGTAACAAAAATTTGATGATTTGTTATTGTCTTTTAGCCGCAATAAAATATACAAAATGATATTGAAATAATTTTGTAACAAGTTCAAAAGTATTTTTTAAGAATTTGTACTTGTCTACATGTAATATTTCCATCATTTTATCAATTTACTGAAATTCTAGTCTTTAAAATTTTGCTCTTATGAAAACACAATTTTCAATTCACAGAATTTTGTAATTTTATATTTATTTATATCATATTATTTTTTTTTTTTAAATTTTTTCCATTTTCTCCTGTTGACTTAACAGGCAATTGAGATTTTCAAGAATTGCTTGATTTACTTTTACAATTGTAGAAGCCTTTGAAAATTTTAGTCATTTTCACTTATGAAACGTATAATTTTGTTCTTTGCTCTGATTTTTTGCAAAATCTTTCCAGAAAGCTCTTAACTTCAGAGTCTAAAGTTTTTAATGATTTAAATTGGTTGAACATAAAAGTATATTCAATTGCTTTGTTTCAATTCTTCAATCTGAAGTATCCTTACAAAATATTTTGGTATTTTTTTGAGATAATTTAAGAATTTACAGAATTTTGTAATTTTCTATTTATTGTTGCCAATTTTTCCTGTTGACTTAACAAGCAATTGAGATTTTCAAGAATTGCTTGATTTACTGTTACAATCATAAAAGCCTTTGAAAATTTGGTTTTGTTCAATTATGAACATGAATTCTTTGCTCTGCTTTTTTTTGCAAATTTTTTCCAGCTCTAAACTTCAGAGTCTAAAGTTTTTAATGATTTCAATTGGTTGAATACAAGAATATATTCAGTATTTATTTGTTACTAAATGTAACGAAATATTTTCCATACTTAAGAAATTTCCAATTAATTTGAACAACACTTGCGATTTGTTTGCTATTATCTTGCTAACAAGCATTTCTATTTGTTATATGATTAAAACGATTCCTTTTATTGTTTCCATTAACAATATTTCCACTCGAAATTGCTGAATGTAATATTACCAAGAGAGATATTAAGAAAATCTCAAAGAATATGCAAAATTTCATTAAGATTCAAATTAATATTAAGTAGAATTTAAATTTGTTGGCAAACTCTTCAAAACGTTCGTCTGTTTCGAACAGCCTACATGGATTAAATTTAATAAATATTTCTTTACTTTACAAAAGAAACATAAGATTATAAAGAAAAAACATATGTTAATAAAAATATAAATAATATTTTTCTGTTGTTAAATTTTTTTTTACAACGTAAATTTTATATTTGTTTAATTTTTTTTCTATATTCGATGAATAAAAATTTTCGAAAATATTCGAGTGAACCTCGAGGCAATTTAAAAATGTATTTAGTAAATGTACAAAGTGTGAAGGAAATGTTTCAAAGTTATTGTATGAATTATGAGAGTCTGATATATCTAAATATTACTCTTAGTGGGAAAAACTCTACAACTTTAGTTGGAAAATTAAAGGTTTTTCTATTTGAGAATCGATTGAAGATCACAAATTTAAAAATAATTAGTCTATAAAAAACATTGATTTATCAATAGAAATATTTGAGAATTTCACTGGAATTCGTTCATTAAGAGCAATCAACGAATACAATCTCGTATTAAAAAAATACTAATGAAAAAAAAAGGGATTTGTGACGGTGACATTCACATACGACGAAAACTCGTAATTAACTTCACTTTTGCTAAAGCGTTTCCATTGCTCGCGTCCCGAACTTTTCCTCTCTCAACGCCAATTATGAAAAGTCGAGTGTTAATTAAAAAATAATAATAATACAAAAACAAGGCTGAATCTCTCGTGAAAGTTCGGGAAATAATATGAAAAAAACACATTGAGAGAGTTTCCAATTTTGAAAATTGTTGATGAAAATTATAACTATTCCTCTAGTTCTTTAAATATTAAACTTTGTGCAGAGTAAAGTTAGCATATGAAAATGAGATGTTTGAATATTTTCATTTGAGAATGAATTTTATGATAATATACAATGAACAATTGCTTCATATTCTTTAAAAAGAGTGTAAAAAATCGTATCTAAACTCAGAAAATTAATGAATTTGTATCTATATACTAAATTTCAAAAGAGAATTAGAAACACGATTCTTTCGTGAATTCAGAAACTTTATTAAAAATAATTAATAAAGTATATAATATTGTATTATAATAGTTCAATTATACTTTAATTTGAACTTGTATTAAAACTAAATAACAACAGCGTTTGGTAAAATTACATCATTATATAATGATAAAGTTGCAACATATGCAACTTTTATTTGAACTACTTTTTCATCTCCATATTTTGATGAATCTATTTGTACAGTGGTTAAAATAAAATAAACTATAATAATATTTGGTTACTACGCAATTTTTTTTATAAAACTACATATTTCTGTAACGGTAGTTCAATTAAATTTAAATTTGGACTATCATTTGTACTGAACATTTAAGATAATAGCTAATGTAATTTGAACTACACGAAATATATTGTTAAATTCCATATTTATTCTCTTTTTGGTATTAATTAGCTTTTGAACTACTTTTCAAAATTATCCAATGGATTAAAGATTTTCCATTGTATTTAAAAAAATATTTTTTGAACTACTATTTATAATGAATATTTAAGATAATTGCTAATGTAATTTGAACTACATCAAATATTTTGTTAATTTTAATATTTATTCTCTTTTTGGTATTAATAATTTTTTTTTAACTAATCTTGAAAATGAGTAGTGAGACTAGGTTAAATTAAGTTAGGTTCTTATTTTATAAAATGGATTAAAGATTTCTTCCATTTAAACATTATTTTTGTAATGGTAGTTCAATACAGTTAATTTGATCTACATCAAATATTTTGTTAAATTCCATATTTATTCTCTCATTGGTACAAATCATCTTTTGAACTACTCTTCAAAATGAGTAGTGATGCTAGGTTTAATTGAGTTAAGCTCTCATTTTATCCAATGAATTAAAGCTTTAAGCTTATAGTAAAAATTTAATTTGTATTTAAACATTATTTTTGTAATGGTAGTTTAATACAATTTTAATTTGAACTACTATTTATACTGAATATTTAAGGTAATAGCTAATGTATTTTGAACTACATCAAATATTTTGTTAAATTCAATATTAATTCTCTTTTTAGAATTAATCCTCTTTTGAACTACTCTTCAAAATGAGTAGTGAGGCTGGGTTAAATTGAGTTACGTTCTCATTTTATCCAAATGGATTAAAGTTTCCTTCAGAAATAAACTTATAGTAAGAAATAATTTGTGTTTAATAATAGTTTTGTAATTGTAGTTCAAAATAATTTTAATTTGAACTACTATTTATATTGAATATTTATTAAGATAATTGATAATATAATTTTAACTACATCAAATATTTTGTTAAATTCCATATTTATTCTCTCTTTGGAATTAATCATTTTTTGAACTACTCTTCAAAATGAGTAATTAGGCTGGGTTAAATTGAGTTAGGTTCTCATTTTATCCAAATGGATTAAAGATTCCTTCAGAAATAAACTTATAGTAAGAAATAATTTGTGTTTAATAATAGTTTTGTAATTGTAGTTCAATACAATTTTAATTTGAACTACTATTTATATTGAATATTTAAGATAATTGCTAATGTAATTTGATCTACATCAAATATTTTGTAAAATTCAATATTCTTTCTCTTTTTGGTATTAATCATTATTTGAACTACTCTTCAAAATTAGTGCTGAGGCTGGGTTAAATTGAGTTAGGTTCTCATTTTATCTAATGGATTAAAGATTTTAGCTTATAGTAAAAAGATAATATGTATAATTAAACAATATTTTTGTAATGGTAGTTCAATTCAGTTTTAATTTGAACTACTATTTATACTGAACATTTAATATAGTAAAAAATGTAATTTTAACTAAACAAAATATGTTGTTAAGTTCCATATTTATTCTCTCATTGGTACAAATCATCTTTTGAACTACTCTTCAAAAATGAGTGACGAGACTGTGTTAAATTGAATTTGGCTCTCATTTTATCTAATGGATTAAAGATTTAAGCTTATAGTAAAAAAATAATTTGTATTTAAACATTATTTCTGTAACGGTAGTTCAATACAATTTTAATTTGAACTATTATTTATATTGAATATTTATTAAGATAATTGCTAATATAATTTGAACTACATCAAATATTTTGTTAAATTCAATATTTATTCTCTCTTTGGAATTAATTATACTACTCTTCAAAATGAATAGTGAGGTTAGGTTAAATTAGGTTAGGTTTTCATTTTATCCAATGCATTAAAGATTCCTTCTATTAAATAAATCATTCGTATTTGAAACTAGTTTATTTCTTTTATAATAGTAATTTAGAATTTGTGCAAGAATGAAAATTGTTGTGTATTTGTTTAGGGATTTACGAATATCTTCAGCTGGAAATGGTTTTCTCGAGGGATCTGAATCAGAATTTGATCCGGATGTTCGTACCTATCACAATGTTCGCGGTCGTCGCGTACGGCGTCTTCTGGATAGACGTGAAGCAGTTCTGCGCTCGCCTCCTCCTTGGTAAGTAAAAAGGGTTTGCGTGTATTCATCTGATTTATCTCGGAGCCTCTTATTACCCGACCTCGGCCTAAAGTAGAATTTATGATTTCTGAGTCGACGAGGAGCAGCAGCAGCAAAGAGAGTCTTAATGGAATCCATCGGTTCTCGATAAAATCATCGAATCACTTATCCCATTCCATCCACCATAAAACAAAAAAACAAAAAAAAAGAAAACAAAACATCCTCCGAAGACTCGATTAAAGTGAACCTTTTCCAGGTTTCTTGTCTTTGTTCGCCGCCAGATCATCGATCGACAGCATCAACGAGGATACACCGGCGGTCTCCTACATCACAGCAATCGACGTTTTCGCAGAAATCTCGATGACTTTCATATTTGCGGCAGTGATTGAAACAATATTTGTACACTTCCTTGAGAACAGGAGACGCGAATCGGAGGGGACAAAAACAAATATTATTAATGACGAAGAGGATGCTGCAGTGTCCAAGGTATACACACACACAGTTTCGACTCAAATCAAACAATTTTACACTGGACTTTTTTTTCAGGATCTTCGATCGAAATTAAAACAGGCCAAGAAATGGATGATCGACAACTCCACTAATAAAGTGGACGCCGTCTTCAAAATACTCTACCCACTTCTTTACGTAACCTTTCAGATCATATTTTGGAGCGTTTGTTTGAGCTACACATATTGATTTTCAATATCACCGCAGCTTATTTCTCAATACAATTTGCGTTATTCACAAACGTTAATTGCATATACATAATAAATAGCTTTTTACACACTTGTGCTCTTGAATTCGTTTCTACCCCTTTTTTTCCAACTCCTATAATCAAAAGGAAGAAATATTACATGTTAATTTGATTATATATTATATTTGATCTTTGCATAATAGTTTGAATTGGTTTTTAGAAAGTTTTTGATTTGATCCTTTAACGAAATCATCTTTTAAATGATTTCTATTGTAAAGTCCTAAAGGTATTTTACTGAAACTACACTCTTATAGGATGTACGAGCTATCAAACCATGGTTTGTTAGATCCAGAATAAATTTAAAACTTTGCGGACGAGCGGCGGATATAGTCGCCCTATTCGTTATAGTTCTGCGGAAGTGTCTCAACATAAACAAATGAATTTTATGTAATTTTTAAATTCTGAATTAAAAAATTATGATTATTTTTGGTAATTAACTATTTTCTACTGATTTAAATCAATTTATTATGATATTATGAAGCTGAAGTGTAAATATTGTTATGTTTGTTTCATTCGTTCGCAATAATCAAAAGGAAGAAATAATGCTTGTTAATTTGATTATATATTATATTTGATCTTTACATACTAGTTTAAATTGGATTTTTTTTTGTAGACAATTATTGTTAATTAAAAGTTGGTGACAATAATCATAAAGTTTGAGCCTTATTGACGAAATCACCTAAAGTCTTAAAGGTATTTTACTGAAACTACACTCTTGTAAGATATACGAGCTATCAAACCATGGTTTGTTAGATCCAGAATAAATTTAAAATTTTGCGGACGAGCGGCGGATATAGTCGCCCTATTCGTTACAGTTCTGCGGAAGTGTCTCAACATAAACAAATGAATTTTATGTAATTTTTAAGTTCTGAATTAAAAAAATTATAATTATTTTTGGTAATTCATTATTTTCTATTAATTTATTATGATATTATACACGCCGTCTTCAAAATACTCTACCCACTTCTTTACGTAACCTTTCAGATCATATTTTGGAGCGTTTGTTTGAGCTACACATATTGATTTTCAATATCACCACAGCTTATTTCTCAATACAATTTGCGTTATTCACAAACGTTAATTGCATATACATAATAAATAGCTTTTTACACACTTGTGCTCTTGAATTCGTTTCTACCCCTTTTTTTTCCAACTCCTTTTACCGCGCCGTAATTTACTCGGTTTTCTCTCTTTCCTCGATATTTTTTCTTGTTGTTTTTGTTGCTCATGTAAAAACCGTGACACGAAAGGATTTCGCTTCGCTACGTATATAATACCTTCCCAATTGCATTTTCCGCTTTATGTTATTTACTCCAAATTGAAATGCCAGGATCGCGCGCGCCCTGTATGAAAAGGAATAGCGTGCGTACACGTAGATTTATTTAAAATGGAAATTGCCCGATATTACGTATTCTTCATTGCTCCCATTTACATTAATACAATCCATTTCTACATCTGCTCTAAATAAACACTCACCCAATACATCTTTTATTTCCATTCATACAACCAGCTACATTTATTCAAAGCAGAAAATACATTTTCTTTTAGTTTTTCAGAAAATTAAGAAAATAAACATAATTGAAAAAAGAAAAACAACGATAATTTCTACAAGTTACTAATTATCAGTTTGAAATATTTAAGAAAAATGAATTGTTTTTCTTAAAATTTCTCATTTGCATTCAATTAAATTTTTTTTTTAAGATTTTAAATTTATTAACGAATTAACTATAAAATTTTCTTTATTTAAATTCACATTAATAGAATTCTATTTAATTTTATAGTTTTCAATGTTTCTAAACTTATTTTCTTGTGAATATTCTAAATATTCAAATTTATTTCAAAATAATCAAAACTTTCATAAATTACACAAAATTTCATGAAATCTCTCTAAGTTAAAATTTTTTTCAATATTTATTTATAAACATAATTGATAATTGATAACTTGATAATCTGCCTTTTATTTTAGTTACAATTAATTGTATGAGATGTTTTTTAGTTACTAATTATCAGTTTGAAACATTGAAGAAAAATGCATTTTTTTATTAAAATTTCTCATTTGCATTCAATTAAATTTCGAAGAAAACTGTAATTTTTTTTTTAGATTTTTAATTTATTAACGAATTAACTACAGAAATTTTCGTTATTTAAATTCACTTTAATAGAATTCTATTTAATTTTATAGTTTTCAATGTTTCTAAACTTATTTTGTTGTGAATATTCTAAATAATCAAATTTATTTCAATATAATCAAAACTTTCATAAATTACAAAAAAATTCATGAAATCTTTAACTAATTAATTGGATAATCTGTCTTTTATTTCAGTTATAATTAATTGAATGAGATGTTTTTTAATTATAGTCTTTTTGGTGCAATCTTTTCATACAATTTTCACTAAAACTTACAAGTTTATTAACTAATTAATATATTACTTTAATTTAAAATTAAAATCACTGAAAACTTTTCATATTATGTTTGAAGATTCATCAAATTAAGAAAAAAATAAATGATTTGTATGAGTGGACAAAACTGTAATTGTAATAGAAATATAAATATGTTAACATTGGGTGGACGAATTGTAGAAAAAAGTTAATTAGTTGCTGCGCTTTGTAAATGATTGGTATGACTGACCCATACATACAATTGTAGTAATATCAATGTGCATCTAAAGGTCGGATCATTAAATATTGATTAACTGCAATTACACGGCGATTCATTATTGATGAATATTAAACAGAAACCAAACAAATTGCATTCAGCGAAGTGCACTGCTCTCTCTGGCTAGTAATTAAATTTAATTAGAATATACTGGTTCCCTGTTAGTACGAATTCATTCGTTCGCAATAATCAAAAGGAAGAAATAATGCATGTTAATTTGATTATATATTATATTTGATCTTTACATAATAGTTTGAATTTGATTTTTGAAAGTTTTTGATTTGATCCTTTAACGAAATCACCTTTTAAATTATTTATATTGTAAAGTCCTAAAGGTATTTGACTGAAACCTCACTCTTGTAGCATATACGAGCTATCAAACCATGGTTTGTTAGATCTAAAATCAATTTAAAACTTTGCGGACGGGCGGCGGATATAACCGCCCCATTCGTTACAGTTGCTGCTGAAGTGTCTCAACATAACATATGAATTTTATGGATTGAAATTTATGTAAATAAATTTAATTAAAATATATTAGTTCTCAGTTAGTACAAATTCATTCGTATGACTTTTATGGATTGAAATTTATGTAAATAAATTTAATTAAAATATATTAGTTCTCAGTTAGTACAAATTCATTCGTTCGCAATAATCAAAAGGAAGAAATAATGCATGTTAATTTGATTATATATTATATTTGATCTTTACATAATAGTTTAAATTGGATTTTTTTTATAGACAATTATTGTTAATTAAAAATTGGTGACAATAATCATAAAGTTTGAGCCTTATTGACGAAATCACCTAAAGTCCTAAAGGTATTTTACTGAAACTACACTCTTGTAAGATATACGAGCTATCAAACCATGGTTTGTTAGATCCAGAATAAATTTAAAACTTTGCGGACGAGCGGCGGATATAGTCGCCCTATTCGTTACAGTTTTACGGAAGTGTCTCAACATAAGCAAATGAATTTTATGTAATTTTTAAGTTCTGAATTAAGAAATTATGATTATTTTTGGTAATTAACTATTTTCTACTGATTTAAATCAATTTATTATGATATTATGCAGCTGAAGTGTAAATATTGTTATGTTTGTTTAATTCGTTCGCAATAATCAAAAGGAAGAAATAATGCATGTTAATTTGATTATATATTATATTTGATCTTTAGATAATAGTTTAAATTGGATTTTTTTTATAGACAATTATTGTTAATTAAAAATTGGTGACAATAATCATAAAGTTTGAGCCTTATTGACGAAATCACCTAAAGTCCTAAAGGTATTTTACTGAAACTACAGTCTTGTAAGATATACGAGCTATCAAACCATCGTTTGTTAGATCCAGAATCAATTTAAAACTTTGCGGACGAGCGGCGGATATAACCGCCCTATTCTTTACAGTTGCTGCGGAAGTGTCTCAATATAAAAAAAATAATTTTATGTAATTTTTAAGTTCTGAATTAAGAAATTATGATTATTTTTGGTAATTAACTATTTTCTATAAATTTATTATGATATTGTGCAGCAGAAGTGTAAATATTGTTATGTTTGTTTCATTCGTTCGCAATAATCAAAAGGAATAAATAATGCTTGTTAATTTGATTATATATTATATTTTATCTTTACATAATAGTTTAAATTGGATTTTTTTATAAACAATTATTGTTAATTAAAAATTGGTGACAATAATCATAAAATATGAGCCCTATTGACAAAATCACCTAAAGTCCTAAAGGTATTTTACTGAAACTACACTCTTGTAAGATATACGAAATATCAAACCATGGTTTGTTAGATGCAGAATCAATTTAAAACTTTGCGGACGAGCGGCGGATATAACCGCCATATTCTTTACAGTTCTGCGGAAGTGTCTCAACATAATAAAATGAATTTTATGTAATTTTTAAGTTCTGAATTAAGAAATTATAATTATTTTTGGTAATTAATTAGTTTCTATCAATTTTTTATGATATTATACAGCTAAATATTGTTATGTTTGTTTCTGTATGATTATGATGTGAGTTAGTAAGAGATTACAACTTGCAATAATTCTGATCTCGTCGGAAATACGTAAGAAATGTGCGGGGGAATTATGGAAGCTTATATAGAGGTAATAAAGAGAAGTGGCTCGATGATAAGGGGGAAACGGCATTACGCGGAGCAATTGGATAATAAATTCGGTGAGAGCAAGGGTTGCGCGAACGGCGATTTCCTTCTCATAAGAGTAGAGAGAAAGGGTGAGAAAGAGTGGGTTGTGTGTAGCTTGAGTTGGTGAGAGGGAAAGACGTAGGTTTCGCAGCTCATCATACATGTAGTTATACGCCCGGAGCCAGAGACTCATCACGTGTCATTCTCGAGGGGCACTTGTAAT